AGAGAGAGAGAGAGAGAGAGAGAGAGAGAGAGAGAGAGAGAGAGAGAGAGAGAGAGAGAGAGAGAGAGAGAGTCTGCCTTTTTGGGGGGGGTGTAGAGAGTTTGCCCTTTTGGGTGGGGTAATTTGCCAAATACCCCCATAAGTTGAGATATATGTCAAAATGTCGCTGAAAGATCTGGGCACAGTGGAATGGCCTTTTGGGCTGGCATCTCAATGTTATGCCCCTGTCAGGCGGGTGTGCGAATTCGCAATCTCAGCCTCCCCCTTTGCGCCTTGGCCTTTTGCAATTGCACCTACGAAAAGTTGGCAGCTACAGGGGCATTTTGCAAAGTTGCACGGTGTCTGGTAGGGGTACATTGCAAAGATGGGGTCCAACCGATGTCTGGTGTGTTTTGCAAAATGTTTTTGCGAGCGTCCTTCACCGTAGCATAGCGCGGCAGGTCCACTTGTAGTAATAATGGTAACAAGGCGATGCCTGCCGCGGCAGAGAGCTTCCCCTCCTCCCACTCGTCATCCCGCCCCTCCCTCACTTGTTCGTCGTCCATAGGGGTTACAGCATGTGGACTGGATAGCACTGCAGACCAGGCGGTAGCCCCTGGCCCCTCCAACCCTTTGCACATTTGGTGAGTAGTGGAACGAGGCCCTTAGTAGTGGGGGGGAGGAGTTTTCCGATGGTGTATGAGAAGGAAGCCTCCGCTAGGACATGGGCAGATACACCACCATACACAAGGGCCTTAGAGTACAACTGCGAGATCGGGCCTAGATCCACTACTCGCCAAACGGGGCAAAGTTGAAATAAATCTTCCACTAGAACATTGAAAGATACACTGCCATATTTTTTTTCGCCCATTCTTCGAAAAGGCCAAAAAAAAAAAGAATCTACTGAAAACAAAACAACGAATCTACTGGGGGGAAAAAAAAAACGGATCTACCAAAAAAAAATAAAAAATGATGAATCCGTTATTGTGTACTTGTATTCAAACATGCACCGGGCCACGCGAATTGCAAACTACAGCAACTGAAGGCATGTTTTCTCCTACTTCGTTTCGTTGGGCCCGCCCCTTGTCCCAACAATTTTCCCAACACAGGGTACGCAGGTCTCGTGTGGGAGCGTCACACCAGACATGCTCTTTGCTTTATAAAAGTTTATAAGAGATACAATGAATGGCTGAACCAGGACCAATGTCCGAATCCCTCTACGCAGGCCGTCTCGGTCTGCCATAGCCACGTTTCAGGATAGCGAGGTACCTGGCTCACGCGCTCGAATAGCTTACACTGACTCCCAAAATCCCACCTTCCGGCCTAAGACTAGTGGCATTAGCACAGCAAAATAGCCTGCTAGCGCCCACTGACTAGCCCCTAAACAGCCAACCTTCCTTCCCCTTTTGTAAGCCCTCCTCATACCGCGATCCCCACGCTCTAAACGAGGGGTTTGAGTATTTTCCCGATCTCTGCTTTTTAACACTCTATAACCTTTTTAAATTAATAAACTTAGAGCAAAATACACAAGAAGGGAAAAAGAAAGGCGAGACGCCAACGGGCAGAGCCGATTCCAACTGCCATCCACTAGTCAGCCTTAGACGCGAAGTATCATGCAGGCTTGACAGCATGATCCCATAACTGGATACCGACGACACACCTTTTCTCTCCAAAACAAGCCGTCAGTCTACCGCTATTGGGTACCCGTGTCCGATGGCAAGGAGGGGGCTTATGACCCTTCACGGGGGGCGATAAGCCTCCTACCAAGGCGGCCGCGGGTGCTCCCATTTTGGGGTCCCGCTGCGCGGCGCTCAACCGGATCACTTAGCCACAAAGCGACACGCGAGGGGTCGGACTTGTCTAGGCCATAACTGAGCTCGAAATTCAAGCCGTTGGCCTTCCCGCGAAACGACGGGCTGGAAAGACCTGAAAAGAACTTAGTAATAATAATAATAGTAATAGTAATAATATTAACAAGGGTAAAACTAAAATCGAAACAAAGGGAAAAGAAAAGTCACAGTAACACTGCAACTTAAGGTCACCTATTCACTTCCGGCAAAAATAGCGAGCCGTCTCGAGGATCAGACTCCACACGCGACTTTCCCCTTTTCGCGTTTTCTCCTTTTATTCTTTCCTTTTTATTTTATTTTTCTTTTCCTCTGTACCTAGCCCAGATCACGACCCTCGGGCCTTGGTGCACGGCTGAATAGACCTTGCCAAGCCCGACGGTCACTTCGGCTGCAGACCCACTGAAAGGCAAGGGATCGAGCCTACGCAGCACCACAGGGAAGCCCAGCAGCCAGGTCAGTATCCGCGCAGCTCTACAGGCTAGTATCTGGCCTGTAACGAGAGCACGCAGACGACATCCCGTACATAGCAGAAAAGAGGACAACTTCTTTGAGCATCAAGGGTATCTACCTGGTCCCATTTCGACTGATAGCAACAACAGCTTTGAGCGTCTAGCCCATAATCTGGCAGAGGGGCACTCGGCGCGCAGTAGAAAAGACCGCGCCTGTCCTTCTGACCTCGCGTCCCTGGGTGAGCCCGGCGGCTACCACGACCACAGGCCGGTAGTGCTCTGCTGTACAGCAGTGCGCCGAGCCTGCGTGGACCAATGGAAAGTCCAGTGGCGCACCTTTTGCTAGGAAGAACACCAACCGGACCGGTCCACTACAGAGTATCACCCAAGCTTTCCAGGAGCAAGGCAAAGGCTCGGGAACAACCCAGTGAGCCGCGGCGTCTGAGCGAGGAACAGGTACTGAGTAGGAGCCTGGTACACAGAGGAGGGCTGGGACACCGCGCCCTCCGACAACGTGCCGACCCACTAACTTGATTCTCCCGCGAAACCACCCTCTTCTTTTATTAATTTTTACCCTCATTCGATCCACGCAGCAGCAAGCATAACTTTTTCTCTCTTATTCCCACTTCCTCCGAAAACAAAACACACCAAAAACAAACCCCCCAGGGAGATCTGACCTGGATTCTTGGAGTCACAAGCGGGGTCGGCGCGAACCTGCCAAATAATAACAAGCCCCTTAGACCCCTCCCAAGATAACCCCACAAAAAGAGATGTTGTCCGTACTCAGAATTGCCGAAGCCGAAGCCCGAAGACGAAAAACCCTCAAATTTGTAGAAACCGAGGACACCGCTCGCGACCATTTGTCACACTTGTCACCGCCCGCCACTCTTGTCAACGCTGGTTACACTCGTCACTGCCTGCCACACTCCGCTTTGTCCCTTCGTCCCTTGGGCCAGCCGAGGCTGTTAGAGGAAGCCCATCCCCGACAACGGCGCCAATTTGTCGACCGATTAGGTATTCCCCGTGAGCAGCAGGAGCCACCCCCAATTTTTCAGCCACTCGGGTATTCCCCGTAAGCAGCAGCAGCCACCAAGATCCTGACCAGATTTTTGCCCCGCGTTACTGACGTTGAAGAGTGGGAGGGAGACTTCAGTAGGTAAGGAAAAATATTAAAAACTTGGTCTCGGTTAGACCACCTGCACCGAAAAGAGAGGCCACCCAGATCATGCAAGGGGGAAGGCGCTTCACCGAGCTCAAGAATTCGAACAGACTGGACAAGACTCAAGACCGCGAAACGGGGTTCGACCGTCACAGGAAAAGAGAAAATCAAGGAAACTCAGTTGATGAACACAGCGAACCTAGAAACCATGTTCATTGCGCTACTGTCCACAAAATTTCTCGGCAAAAACCCTCCTCGTGGTGCTGGCCACCGGCGAGTCGCTCAGAAGCGGCCCTCCACTTTCCCTCACCGCAGGTTCTTTCGGCGCGAGTCCGCGGGAGCAGTTTGTGGTTGCATCAGCTTCCTTCTATCCGTCTCTCTGTTTCTTCTTCTCTTTCTCCCTCTCTCTCTTTTTTCTCTCTCTGTTTCTCTGTTTCTTTTCTCTTTCTCTATCTTTTTCTTTCTCTCTCGCTTCCTTCTCTCTCTCTCCGTTTTTCTCTTTCCCTATCCCCTGCGATATCTAGCAACAGCAGTCCTAGCCAAATACAGAGTGTCGCGATGAAACGGCAGCCACAACCTTTGGCGGCCCGCTCTCTTTTCTTTTCCGATTCACTAATGCACCTTTCCAGGCTTTCCTTGATATCGGGCCGAGTACAGAGATCTCTTCGAAGGTCAGCGCAACCGCAAGTGGCCTACTTTCTCTCTCTCTCTCTCTCTCTCTCTCTCTCTCTCTCTCTCT